AGGAGAGTCCTATTCACTGCAAACAAGAAAGTCAGCCACTGGAAGGGCTTCTGTGCTCAGCTTGGATGGGGCAGTCTTGGGTGGTGCAGACAAGCTTTATTCAGCCCCTCCCTACGAAGGTCTGGTTTCTGAGTCCCGCAGTAAGGGCCGCTGGCTTCATACGCCTCTGAGAGATCTCTGCCTGCTGCCTGACAGTCTGGCCTCTCCCTATCTGGGGCCGTCTTTCAGAGCAATAGGGTGCTTCTGTCTTCCTCCTGAACAGGAAAGCTAGCCATGCATTAGCTGTCCCCTCTCTCCGTGAGCAGCGAGTAAGCTAGTAGCCAACTCAGCACGCCCTCTTTGCACTCCACAAGCAAGCCGGCAGCAAACTCTGCGGCCACCTTTTCTCGCGCACAGTTCTCCGCACCTTCACAGTTCCTGAGGTTCAGCGTGCCTTCTCTTTCCTTACCAAATGGTAGAGCCTCGTCTCAGCCAGCCGTCTGGCGCTTCAGGGTGATGATTCCCCTGTTTTCCAGTTCTAAATTCAAATTTGTTGTGGTAGACTGCATTCGGGTGTCTACCCTATACCGCCATTTTGGTTTCTCCCCCTGTTTTCTACACTTTTATCCTAATTGAGATCTGAGTACAATATTTGTTGAAAATTGAATAAGTGTAGTCAAGTAAGTTTGAGAGATATTAAATTAATAAATCAAAGGCTGTAGAAGTCCCATAATAAAGAACCTAGATTAACTTGTTTATCTCAACTTTTCCCAACATATCTATCAGACCACTTGAACAAGTGAGGTGGTGTTCTAAATATTAGAATATTTTGACGCTATCATAAATATGAGAAAGTTTGTTTCTGGACTCTCGAGGCTATTTCATTCCTGTACCATTACTACATTGCCTTAATTAATGTCGCTTTTTAAAAATTCTATTTTAATTGTTTATTGGTTACTGGTTTGTTTTTAATCTTAAGAATACTGTGTTATGCAGTTTTTCCCTACCTGATGTTCCTCAAAACTATTCCACTTGTTCAAGTGGTCTGATAAATACATTGGGAAAAGTTGAGATAAACAATATAAATTGTAAAATAAAATTTTGTCAAAGAAAGGCTTGATGGAAACCAAAATGCTCATCAGGGTTATTGGCTTATAATTCTCTTTCTTTTCAGTATCTTCATCTGGTTTTAGAATTAGGATAATCCTGGCCTCATGAAAAGAGCTTGGAAGTGGTCCTTCCTCTTGGATATTTTGGGAATAGTTTGAGGAGTATAGGTATTAGTTCTTCTTTGAATATTTGACAAAATTCCCCTAGGAAGCTGTCTGGACCAAGGCTTTCATTTGCTGGGAGGTTTTTTTTTGTTTTTGTTTTTTTAAATATCATTATTATTATTACTGCTTCAATTTCATCAGTTGTTATTGGCCTATTTGGGTCTTCTTATTCTTCCTAATTCAGTTTTTTTTTTCTAGGAATTTATCCATTTTATCCATGTTGTCCAGCTTGTTGGCATTTTACTCTTCATAGTATTTTCTTACAGTCTTGTATTTCTGTGGTGTCAATTGTTATTTCACCTCTTTTGTTTCTGATTTGGTTCCTCTATCTTTGTTTCTTATGAGTCTGGCTAAAAGTTTCTCTATCTTGTTTATCTTTTCAAAGAACTATTTAGCTTTTGGTCCGTAGATCTTTTGGTTGGTTATTTTAGAGGTTTCCATAATCTTGCAGTACAGGCCATACTGAACTAGATTCATCTTTCATAATTAAGTGCCTTCAAAAGCCAGCTAAGATGCATTCGAAGTTGATTACATGGATGGTACTAATCATGGGTGCACCGGGAGGCTCACCGGAGCCAGGCAATTGTGTCTGCTGGGGAAATAAAACAAATCTCATGCTCTCATGCCACTCCCATTCCCAAAAAAACCACCTCACTGCAATGGTAACAGAAAGGAACAGTTTTCTTATTGAATAAGCATTAAGCCGGAATGTGATGTGCATCACAGGCAATCCACTAAGATTACAAAGACAGAAAAGAATCTCACCCCTTTCTATAGCCAGGCAGATATAACTGTTACCTAAATTCTCAAAATATACAATAACTAGTCCTCAAGTCAGAGGGCCTGATGGTGCCGTATGTCACACAGAGTTCATCCCAGAGTCACCTGGCAGCTGGGGCCCCTGTGTTCTCTCCTTGGCTTTAACCTAAAGAAAAACAAACTTCTCAGCATCTCTATGACAGGAGGCGGGCTGTCAGGTTCGGCTCTTCCTCGCCTGCAGAGACTGGGAAACGGACACTGTCTCCCTGGTCATTACTTTTCGAAGAGTTGGCTCCCAAGTCCTGGAGAGCCCTAAAGGTGGCAAAGGGATTATTCAGCTTTTGAAAAGATTTGCATACATTTCAAAGAGAGAAAATAACTCTTACAGATTTTTTTTAAGTAAATGCTCTAAGAAAAGAGAGTGAGGAGAGTGTTATTTTCAACAGAAAGAATTAAACTATTTATTTATTTATTTATTTATTTTTATTGTTGACAATATTACAGACTTATAGATGTCCCCAGTTCTCCCCTCTTTGTTAAGCTCCACGCAGCCCCTGCCCGCCCTCCCCCCCCCCCTTTCCTCTGGCTTAAGCCTCTTATTATTTGTTTTTTAATTTAAGTTCTTTATTGATTAAGGTATTACAAAAGTCTCCTTTTTTTCCCATTGACCTCTCCTTGGCCCCCCCCACCCCCCGCAAACACACACACACACACACACACACACACACACACACCCTCACTTCCCCCTCCCTCCCTCCACCCTCTACCTCTCCATCCTGTTGTCTGTGCCCATTGGTTATGCTCATATGCATGCATACAAGTCCTTTGGTTGATATTTTACCCCCTCACCCCCATCTTCCTTCATAGGTTGAACCGTATGTTCAATGCTTCTATGACTCTGGTTCTATTTAAGCCTCTTTTTTTTTTTTAATATATTTTTATTGATTTTTTACAGAGAGGAAAAGAGAGGGACAGAGAGCTAGAAACATCGATGAGAGAGAATCATCAATCAGCTGCCCCCCGCACACCCCCCACCGGGGATGTGCCCGCAGCCAATGTCATGCCCTCGACCAGAATTGAACCTGGGACCCCTCAGTCCGCAGGCCAACGTTCTATCCACCGAGCCAAACCGGTTTCAGCATAAGCCTCTTGCTTTTAATTTGTATTTGTGTTTTCAGGCTCAAGAGGTGGCAGCAAAGGGGGCATCTCCGCCTCCTCTCTCTCGGAACTCGCCCATGTTGACCCAGCCTCTGGGACAAGGGTCACAGAGTGAACGGCCCTGTCACTCCTGTTGATTTCCCAGTAGCTGTGGGAAAGCCGGGCAGGGCTGCTGGAAGGGAGCGGCTCCCCAGCCGTGTGAGTGATGTTGGTTCTGAGGAGAGTGCAGGTCCCGTCCAGGGTGACCTGAGCACCCGCCTGAGGCTGGGCTGGGGAACTGGAGGACAGAAGGCCAGGCCAGGGCCTGGCCCGCACACGTGCTGAGGATGGGGCCTGGTCTGCTTTCAAGAACACAGCTAACCCAACCCCAGCAGGTGAGTGTAGAACTATGAGGATGAATAACTGAAAATCAAAACTCAGCAGGCTCTAAGCAAAACTATTTTCAACAGAAAATAGGAACTCCCCGTGGTCTTTACTTTCACCAAAAGATTGATTCTAACCGAGAGGGGAAGGAGAAAAATATTCAAAACCAGTGAGTCAGAAAAGCAGAAACTCAGCCTCAAATTCAAAGGAGTAAGTCAAAGAAAAGAAGAATCAAAATTGCAAAACGATATGGTGTTATGGTCACAATCCAGGAATAATTTATATTCATGATGCCTCCTTATATTTGAAGAGCTGAAGTGCTCTCCAAAGTAGAACAATTCTTACCCTACACAGTGTTTGCAAAGGAGAGCGCCATTTGGAAAACAAGGCAGAAATCACTATTTGTTTTTTCCTAAGGTTCCCTGTGTTGTAACTCTGAAATATACATACTAGTTTGTGTGTGCACATAAACGTGTATCTGAGTAGAAGAGCAGGACAGAAGCCATTCGATTGCCCCCCCTCCCCCCCTACTTCCATGCTCCCGGAGCACTGTGACCTCCTCACTGGAAACAAGGGCTGGGGCTGTCTTCAAGGACTGCCCTCCCATTTAGTTGGCAGCAGGGAGGGGAGTGGAATTCCCAGTAGGAAGTGCTAGCTTTGCCTGGCCGGTGTGACTCAGCGGTTGAGTGTCGATCCAGGAACCAAGAGGTTGCTGGTTTGATTCCTGGTCAGAGCACATGCCAGGCTTGTGGGCCCCATCCCCAGTCTGGGGAGTGCAAGAGGCAGCTGATCAATGATGTTCATCTCATAGATGCTTCTCTCTCTAAAAATCAATAAAAATATTTTTTTTAAAGGAAAGTACCAGCTTTGATCTTTTGCTCCCAGGAAGGCAAGCTCTCCTGTGGTCTTCAGGGAAGATTTTGGAAAAGGATGAGGTCCCACCCTCCCTCCAGATCCATCAGTGTCAGGTTGGAAGTAGAAATAAGGACAGGAGCCCTGGAGCAGGCAAGACCAGGCCCCGCCTGGCTAAGCAGAGCACCTTTGCCCTCCTCCGGGCACTGGCCCTGGGCCCTGTACCTGTGCTCCCTGGCCCTCTCTTGGGGCTCAGCCTTTCCACTGGCCCCCACCATACTCTGCCCACCTGTGCCAGCCCTTCGGCACTCAGTCCCCACTTAGCACCCCCCTTCTGTATAAATTAAAAGGTAGTTCTAAGTGTGACATGTTCTAGAAAGAGAAGGTATAACTTTTTGTTTCGTTTTTACTACAGAAGTATACGTTTGTGCTGCCATTTTTGGTCCTCAATCCAATGAGCCTCTTGGTGTTCTCATTTTTAAAATTTTAAAATTTTATTCTAGACAGTTCAGAGGATCTGGGGACTCTGCCACAAGATCCAGTTCAATAGTTTATTCAGCTTTCATTATCCACCCAGGTTTTTAATGAGTAACTCAGTATCTCATATTGTTCCAGGCTTTGCAGAGAGCCCAAAGGATGTAAGAATGGCGACTCATCTTGGAATTTACACCGTATCTGGGGAGACCACATACCAACACGTGGAAGTGTCCTAGTTCAGGCATGGGTGTTCGGAGGGAGGATAAACATGGCTGCAGTGTGCAGGCAAAGCTTCCTGCAGAGGTGGGATTGGAAGGTCCTTTGTTTATTATTTTTAATAGCAATAATCACCCCTCAGATAAACCTCATTGGCTCTGATACTGCCATGGGGAAAGCTGAAGGTCCTGTAATAGTGGACGGAATCTGACCAGGAAAACATCTGAAGCCCAAGGAACAGCAGAGGTTCCTTAAGTTTGTGTGAGCTGGAGGACGGCGCCTCTGTTAGGGTCCCTACGTAACTACAAGGACCTCCGGCTGACATGGGAGCTTGATGGGCCAGAGCACAAAAGCAGGGGCATCAGAAGTCCCAGGACGGGGCCACGGAGCCTTGCATCCTGTGGAGAGCAAACACCTCAGAATCCAGTGAGGTGGAAGGCTGTCAGAGTTGCCCTTGGACTCTGAGGCTGTCAAACCCCACCTTCCACCCAGAGACTTGTATGTTTCACATTCCGGAACTCGCCACAGGTAATTCTACGAGACTGATTTGGTGTTCATTCTCCCCCAGCAGAAGATGGACCAGCAGGGAATGGTGACCAGCCCTACCTAGGCATGGGTCTTAGGATATTTTGCTTTGTTGTCCTTCTTCCCAAATCTTACCCAGGGCCACGATAGAAGGAGATTCTCTGGGGCTTATTTTAACTAAAGACTCCTGCCTTCAGTATGTGGGGCTGTTAAGCACTCTCAGAGCTACCTGCTGGCTCCCTTGTACACTGCCTCATCCAGCAAGAAGCACACACGTGGAGCCGGACAAGAGCCTGGTACACGCTGGTGTCAGCGAGGAGACTGGGCCAAAGCAGGAGACTGTCAAGAGATGGGAAGAAGGCCCATAGCAGGCTGGGGCTGCTGCAGTGATGGGATCTCTGCTCAGATTGATGGTCAAGAGCATGCACATCAGTCAACAGACACCAGCTCACCCGCCAGCTTATCTTCCTGCCTTGAGGACATTTTCCTCGGACAGCGCTCAGCACAGCACCCTCCTGCCAGCGCCGCGGGAGGCTCCCTGCCACCGATCACAATTAACAGGCGGTCTGGCAACAGGACAAATGGACCCTTTCCCATGATGGAGTCACAGAAATGTTGAGTAAACCGTCATAAAATAAATTTACTTAATGTATGCTGTCCCTGCACAAAAGAAAGGGAAGTCCTCGATGGCGAAAGGAAGAGGAAAATAACAGCCAGAGCCCGTAGAGGAGCCAAATTTAGGTTCTCGGGCCGGAACTGAGTCAATAACACCCGAAAGGAACGGGAGCTGTGGCCTTGGCCTTGCTTGGAGGAGAGACGCTTTTAATCTGAGTTCCGCAGAAAAAGCAAAAGCATCAGAGAGATGCCCCTTCCCGAGAAGGGGATTAGAAAACACCTCCCACCAGCTCAGGGGAGTCTGAGGAGGCCATTGGTCTAGTTTGGGTGCAAAAGAGAAAGGTCACCTGTCAGAAGTTGAATTCCTAAGGCCTGTGCCCTGAGAGTGCAGAGTCCAGGTTTATTCTACCTGTGAGGCCCATAACTCCCAAGCAGAGAAATTAACATAATGTCCTCGTAGGTAATGCGTAACCACTCTGTGTAGAAACACTGTCACAGCCCAGAGCACACGGGAGCCACACAGGGAAAGCAAATCCTACTGCGGATGAGCTCACAATGAAAAGTGACAACTCATGTGAGGAAATGAGCCTCGGGAGTGGGAACCAGCAGGTGCAGCTGGCTCCTCAAGCACTGCAGGCAGCGGAACCGTCTGAAAGAAGCTGTGCGCATAGTCATACCCAAAATTCCAAAAGCGGAACCTGGTAGTGCCGATCCCTGTTCTAATCCCAATCTGTTCTTCCTGCGTCCACCTTTTTACATCATTCCAACCCTTCCTGCCATGTAGACCCCAATTCTTGAGCTGTCTTCAAATTCTTCCTCTCTCAGCTGTTCCCCTTAAAAATGGTTCTCAGTGTTCTCATCCCCCTTCTTCTCCTCTCCTCTGTTACTGTGATGGCCATTTATGGTAGATGATCTTCCTGCCTTCCCATCCCCATTGTCCCCTCCTCTCTTTAATCCACCCCTACACTGCCACTAAATTATCTTCCTAAATGCCTAGTTCAATGATTTTACTTGCCAAAGCCAAATTCTTTTTTTAATAAAAAAAAATTTAATATATTGTTATTGATTTCATAGAGGGAGAGGAAGAGAGAGATGGAAAACATCATTGATGAGAGAGAATCATTGATTGGCTGCCCCCTGTATGCCCCCTACTGGAAATCGAGCCCGCAACCCAGGCATGTGCCCTTAATTGGAATTGAACCTGGGACTTTTCAATTCACAGGCTGACACTCTATCCACTGAGCCAAAACGGCTAGGGACAAATTCTTTTAAAAATATATATATTTTTATTGACTTTAGAGAGGAAGGGAGAGGGAGAAATTGAAACATTAATGATGAGTGAGAATCATTGATTGGCTGTCTCCTGCATGCCCCTTACTGGGGATTGAGTCCACACTCTAAGCATGTGCCCTTGACTGGAATTGAACCTGGGACCCTTCAGTCTGCAAGCCAACACTCTATTCACTGAGCCAAACTGGCTAGGGCCAAAGCCAAATTATCTTTTGTAATAAAAGCCTAATATGCTAAGTGTCTAGTCATCCAGTTGGCCGTTCAACCAATCAAAGCATGATATGCTAAGGCCACTCAACTGCTTGCTATAATGTGCATTGGCCACCAGGGGGCAGATGCTCCAACCAGTAGGGTAGCTTGCTGCTGGAGTCCAGCCATGGAGCCCTCTCATGGTCCCTTCCTAGCTGGCCAACCTCCCATATCCCTCCTCAGTCCTAATCCTGCACCCGTGGGGTCCCTTGGCCTGGCCTGCACCCTCTCACAATCCAGGACCCCTCAGGGAATGTCAGAGAGCCGGTTTCAGCCCGATCCCGCAGGCCAGGCCAAGGAACACCACTGGTGCATGAATTTGTGCACTGGGCCTCTAGTTGCTTATGAAAGTCCATACCTTCCCCAACTTGGAATTAAACATTTTTTCCTGTTTTGTTCCCTGTTATAATATAATCACTCCCACCTGCTGTTTCAGCCATTCTGGCTTACTTATCCTTCCTACCCTTCCCCTCATGCTTCCTTGCAGTCTCCTCCTTCTGACTAGATTCTCCCCTCATCACATCTGCTGACTGAAAGTGAACCTTAGCTTTAACCTTTAGAAGCATGGTGTGAAAGAATGAAGGCATCATTACAGCTGGACACATCTGGTTTCATGTCCCAGGTGTGTCGCTTAACAGCTCGAGAAAGCCACAAGCTCTGTGATCCTGATTCTAACCATGTAAGACGGGAATGATACCTACTTGGCAGAGTTGGGAGTGTTAGAGATCATCTACAGAAAGCACTGCACAGAGAGTCTGGCCCCAGTAAGTCCTCAGTAAACAGTTGCTGAATTGAGTCTCTATCTTCACAGGTTTATGGAAGCTAATGTCTTCACTGCTTCCCCAGCCAGAGCTCCAGGAGGCCTGAGGCCTTGTCCTATTTGTCTTTTCATCTTTGCTCTTTCCTGTGACTAGCACAGGAAACCTTGAAACATGTCAATTGACAACCAGTGAACGAATGAGGCCTGATACTAGAAGGGGATGTTTTGGGCAGGTGTCAGATGCCAGAGGGGGGTTGGGCTCCAGTCTATACTGCGTCACTCCAGAGAGGGTAGAACCACCACCAGGAGCCACAAAGAGGCTGATGCTAGCCAGGGCAGGAAGGAATCGCCAACATTTAGAGCTGTTTAATGAGAGCAGGTGCCAAATGTAAGTTGCATGTCATTAAAAAAAAACAAACCCTCATATTATAAGAAGTATTGATATTTGCTAGTAATAATGAGAGAGGTTCATTGCTGTCATACTGATCTTCAAAATACATACCTCCCACCTAGAAGGCTTGGCTCATAGCTAAATCTCAGGGTTGTTTTTTTTTTGTTTTGTTTTTTGCCACAAATTTAAGGCTCTACATATATTTTTATTAAATGAATAAATACATGAAATCATTGATCAATCTGATTTTTAGAAAAGATATGTGCCACAAGGAGAAGAAAAAAAGAAGGAAAAGCACGAGGGTTTAGAAAGAGACCAGCACAGGGTGACAGAAGGGCAGAGAAAAGTGAGTCAGGGCCGGAGAAGAGGGTCCCGCTGGGAAGGCTGGAAGCCCCATGTCTGGGCTGAGCACCAGGCCCTTCTGAACCCGATTCAGCTCGCCTGCTCGCCTGCTCCCGCTGGCTGATGAGAGCGGCCACGGCACATACTCAGCAACACCAGGGAAATCACTCATAAGACCTTGATCATGTCTAGATGGTATTATGATTTGATTTTGAACCTCCTTTTCCCCCATGAATTTAGGTCTCAATTATTATGCTCTATTATTACAATTATTGTTGCTCTGTTATCACAATTGCTCAGTTCACACTTGGTAATGAGTTTTTTTAGAAATATGATCTATTGATTTTTTTTTTTAGAGAGGGAGAGAAAGAGAGAGAGAGACCCATCACTTGCTTCCATCACAGACTCTGGCTGGGGACTGAACCCACAGCCTGGCATGTGCCCTGAGCAGGAATCGAACTGGCAACCTTTTGGTGCATAGGACGATGTTCAGCCAACTGAGCCACACTGTCTAGGGTGGGAATGAGTTATTAAATGAAGTGTATTAAGGTATTATTTTTTTTCTTTAGAGTATCATTATTTATTTATTTATTTATTTAATAATATATTTTATTGAGTTTTTATAGAGAGGAAAAGAGAGGGATAGAGAGCTAGAAACATCGATGAGAGAGAAACATCCATCAGCTGCATCTTGCACACCCCCTACTGGGGATGTGCCCTTGACAGGAACCGAACCTGAGACCTTTCAGTCCGCAGGCCGACGCTCTATCCACTGAGCCAAACCAGTCTTGGCTAGAGTATCATTATTTAAAAACAGTTGATTTTCAACAGTGACACCAAGTCCCAAGGGGAAAAAAAATCCTGTCCAAGCACAGAAGGATTTCTTATTTGATAAACAGAGCTTATAATTCTCCGGGACAAGCTGGTTCTCCCAGTTCCCACGAGCAAAGATCAGCTGCTCTGAGTCCGGACTCCTTGGCTGCCCCGCGGACTCACCAGGAGACACAGCGGCCGCGGGGCCTCAGGAGGCCCCCCAGGCTCTGCAGGGCCTGCGGCAGCCCCTCCCCGGTGAGGGCGCTGCAGGCCCGGAGCTCCCAGCAGCGGCCCTGGAACCGCTCCAGGCCCAGCTGGTCTCTGATCTGCAGCAGCGGCAGGGCCCCGGGCGCCTCCTGCTTGTTGGCCAGGACCAGGAAGGGGACGCTGGCCATGCCGGGGCTGGCCAACACCTCCTTGAGCTCAGCCCCGGCCTCGGGCAAGCGGGCCTCGTCCGTGCTGTCCAGCACGTACACCAGGACGTCCGCGCCTTCCAGGTAGTGCTTCCAGCTGGCCCTGAGCTCGGCCTGCCCCCCGATGTCCCAGAGAGTCAGAGACACGTGCCCCGGGGCCTCCAGGGGCTCCACGTTGAAGCCGATGGTGGGCAGGGTCTCCACCAGCTGGTAGCCCTTCAGTTTGTACAGGAGCGTGGTCTTGCCTGCGGAGTCCAGGCCCATCATCACCGCCTGGGCTCCTGCCTTGTGGCCTCGGGAGTTCACGGAGCCCATGGTGGCCCCTGGGGAGTCCTGGGGGAGAGGGCAGGGGCACACATCAGCTATTCTTTTCTGAGGGATCACACAGACCCCTGCAGGCCCACGGAAGAGGAGCTTCCACCTCAAAAATAGGAAGTGCCTTGGCAGTTTCAAGCACAGGCCTGGGCCCTGAGGGCCAGGAAGTGGGGGTGTGAGTCACCCTCAGCCGACCCCTCGCTGGGCAGCCTCCTTCAGAGAAGAGCTCGGGGCCCTGGGAGGCTCCGAATGCGGGCTCCTGGCTCCCAATCCCTGGGAGTTGAAGCCAGGAGGCAAAACAAGTTCCAGTCAGACAAACCCAGGTCAGTAGAAACGACGCCAGATGCCTGCACGTCTTGCTAAGTCTGTGCTGCCAGCCTCGGTTTCCCTCCTGGCAAGCCCAAGCCCCGGAGGGGAAGCGGCCTTGGGCTCAGGGAACCCGAGTGAGGGGCAGCGGCTCCTGCCACTCCGCTGCCTTTGGAACGCCCGCAGGCCAGCAGCTGTCCTGGACTCAGGAGCTAGTTATAAACACGGTGGCTGCGGACACACCAGCCAGGGCAGAGTGGTCCCCTCCACTGTCTTAGCAAGGTAAATTCCCTCTCCCGTTTTCCAAAAATCAGAAATTTTAAGACTAAGACCTGATCCCAGTTCAGTCAGGGGACACCTTGGCTGGGACAGTGACGGGACATCTCCCCCGAGGAGTGTATTTCAGCTGCCCCTGGAGGAAGATAAGACAGCCCTGCGCATCCCTCCTGCCGGGGAGAAGAGTAAACATTGTGGTTACCTCGGTGCCTGAGCCAGGGCCGCAGCTCCTCCGCAGCGTCTTCTCCCCGCAGCTGCTGTCAGTGATGTCCCAAGAGCAGTGAGGAAAGTTGCTGTTTCTCCTTTTTCTGCTTCCTTTCCCCATGTGGCTTCCCCGCCCTCCCTCAGCTCTGGGGCTCCCGGAAGTTCTCCCGCTGGGGATGTGCCACAAACACCCCCCCAGCTCCTCAGCCCTATCAGAGGGAGGTCCAGCACCGCCTCCCTGTGGTGGCAGCTTGGCCTCCCTGCAGAAGGAAGGGGCCACGGTCACAGCTGTGCCCAAGTCCAGCCACTTTCTTTTGCTCTTCCTCTCACAATCCTGTGACCTCCTCCGTGGAGAAATCTGAGAACCAGAGTTTTTCCGTCAGCCGGGCTAGCCCAGCTCAGTGATGGAGCGTCGACCTATGAACTAGGAGGTCACAGTTCTCTTCCCGCTCAGTCGCATGCCTGGTTTGTGGGCTCCATTCCCAGTGTGGGGCTGTAGGAGGCAGCTGATCATTTAACAAAGGAAGCTATTGGGGAAGGTCAGATACAGAGTGTGCTGTGCACAGCACTGTGTTCTGCTGTTCCTGATGTTATTGTTCTGTTCTGAGTGCCTGGTAGCAGGCTGCAGTCCTTTTGCAGGGGCCGGTGTGTGGTGAGAGAAGGGAGAACGGGGGCGGAATTATTGTCAAATAGAAGCCATAGTTGGAGAGTAGATGAAGCCCTAAAAATAGATTTTATTCAAGACTATTATTGCCAGAGGGGGACCTCACTGTGGAACTGGACTCAGTTTTGAGTACAACATGGGCAAGTGGGGATTTAGCGCCAAGGAGCAGGATGGGGTCAGTGGATGCAAAATTACTAAGAGGAAATATCAGGGATAATGGGGGTTGTTTGTTTGTTGGTTTGTTTTGCTAAACTGAATAACAGGATTCTTGCTGGAGGCAGGCCAGGGTGCTCAGACATCACCTGGGAAATGGTGGGGGAAGAGAAACCTGATCAGGTATAGAGGGTGGTCAGATATCAAGGATTATATAGTCTGGTTAAACTGACCTAGCAGGGTTCTAGCAAAACGGGATTTTATAAGCAAGTGCACAGATGGACCTAGGAGAAGGTTCAGGAGCCTGACTAAAGTTTGGTTAAGCTGAGAATCTCTGTCGTTATCCCAGGAAAGCCTCAAAGCAAAAAGCGCTGTCTGGAGGAGGGCTTGTCCTCTGCACTGGGCCCCGGTAGGACTCAGTCCTACCCAGGCCTCGCTGGTAAGTCAGTGGGAATCCTGCCAGGAAGTGATTGACAGGAGGATCGGGTCGGCAGAGGGAAAGGATGCAGCAGGCTAAGGATGAAGTGTGCTTGGAGCCTGGGAAGCCAGGGGGTGCTGCCCTGACGCTTCCCCCATGTCTGAGCCCAGCGCGGGAGGGAAGGCAGGCAGAGACTGAAGAAGCCATTGACTTGAGGGGCTCAGAGGCATCAGACCAGGCTGTTTGGGTGCTGAGTGACCCCCAGTGACACAGTTAAGGAAGGAACATTCCCTCACCCTCCTGCCCCAAGGATTCCAGGGGTGCTCTGGAGGCCCTTTGTGACCCCACGGCTCTAAGGCCTGCCCTCCTGGGCCGAGGCCGGCCTTCAGCGGGAGGGCCTGTGAGGCCGCTCAGGCTCTCCCTGAGGTGGAGGAGCCTCTCCTGAGGGCGAAGGACTGTATTCGCTGGAGAAAGTGGGAGCCAGGAAAGCAACAATCGCTTTGAATAGGACCCAAAGGCCTGAATACCCTGTCCCTTTCTTTACTGAGTTTCTATGAACCTCAGTTCCTTTTTCTGTGAAGTGGAGATGATGATATTAATAATAGCACCCAACTAGGAGGGTTATTGGGAGGGTTAAGAAAATTAAGACACATCAAATACTTAGCCCTAATCCAGGCACCTAGTCCCAGGTCACTAGGACTAGGTGCCTCCCTCTCCCCCTCCCCTTCCCCTCCCCCCTTCTCTTCCCCTCCCCCTCCCCCTCTCCCCTCCCCTCCCCCTCCCCCTCCCCTCCCCTCTCCCTCTCCCTCTCCTCTCCCTCTCCCTCTCCCTCTCTCCCCTCTTCCTCCTTCTCCTTCTCCTTCTCGTCCTCCTCCCCTTCCTCCTCCCCTTCCTCCTCTCTCTCTCTCTCTCTCTCTCTCTCTCTCTCTCTCTCTCTCTCTCTCTCTCTCTCTCTCCCTTTGTCCCTCCCTCCCTCTCTCTAAAATCAATGAACATATTCTCGGGTGAGGATTAAAAAGAAAAAAAGTAGAGTTGTGTTTGGTAAGGGACACAACACCTTTGTAAACCTGTGCCTGCAGCTACTGGAAGAGGAGCTCTGCTAAACCCACTGGCCCAGGAGAGACCAGGGTCTCCAGGAAATGGGGCTCCCCCGAGGGCCCGCGCAGAGCCCGCCGGCTCAGACTGTGGGCTTATAAATATACTTTTGCCAGTTCTCATACAGGTAGTCAGGTCTGGAGGATCAGGACATGCTCATTTCACTCACAAAAACACACACCACACACTTTATTAGCCAGAATGCAACTTCTCGCGTTTCCAAGGAGACCCGTTCAGGCCCGAGACCAGGAACCGGTTGTGTGCAGCACCGGCGCCGGCAGCAGCAGGAGCGCCCCGCGGCGGGCACACGGGACGCGGAGAAAAACCACACGGACAACACGTGCGCACCGGCCTTCGGAAACAGTGAAAGTTGGTGGTTTTGAAGGATTGTTTATCATGGAACAAAGCCTCGTGGTCGCTTTCTTTTCTCCTTTCTGCAGACAGGTCCGAGGGCGGAGAGGGCTGTGTCCCGGAAAGTGCCAGCGAAATGCGGACACGGCCCGCCCTCCCAGCCCGCTTCGTCTGGGCTCCGGCGTCCCCTGCCTTTCTCCTAGTCGTTCTGTGGCCTCATCTCCAGTCTCAGTTTCTCAACTTGCAATACTCTAGTTGATAACTTATTTCCAACGACTGTGTCTATTAATAATCAGATGTTATTTAAATTTCAGATGATCCCTGCAAAATTCAAAAGGTACAAAAGGGTAGAGACTCAAGGGAGTTCTCCTCACGCCTGTCCTCCCGCCAAGCGGGTCCTTTCCTGGAAACAAACCACGCCACCCATCTCTTAGGTGTGTTCCCAGAGGTGTCTGCGCGTGTGGAAGCAAGTTTTTCATGTTCATCTCCCTCCCCCCCCCCCCCCCCCAAATGGTAACATACTTGGAGGAATCGAATCGCTTTATTAAATATTCCCATCAGAACATCTCAGCCATCTGCTCTGTCAAGAATCGGTGGGAGAGAAAAGAAGTGACAGACAGCAGCCCAGGGGTTACCCAACTTCCCCAGCATTCACCCGAGCCCCCCACCCCCACCCCGCAGTGAGTGATGAAAGGGAGCATGTGCAATGTGCAGGCTGTCTTTGGGAGGTATTGTGGTGAGAATCAATACCTAAAGTTTAACATTCTCTGAGACGTTTTACTCCATCTATCACTGTCACTTATTAGGCAACCCCTGGAACCCTAAGCAGTCCAGTTGGTCCTTGAGTAGCTGTGGGGTTAAGGGTGCTGACTTCCCATGTAGTAAAAAAATCACAAATAATATATACAGTCTATTAAGATATATTTTGTTTTGTTTTTATTGATTTCAGAGAGGAAGGGAAAGGGAGAGAGAGATAGAAACATCAAGGATGAGAGAGAATCACTGATTGGCTGCCTCCTGCCTGTTCCTCACTGGGGATCCAGGCCGAAACCCAGGCTTGTGCCCTGATGGGGAATTGAACCTGGGACCACCTGGTTCATAGGTCAAAGTTCAACCACACTGGCTGGGCTAAGATATATTTTGTATATTATCTGTATTATATACTATATTCATACAATAAAATAAGCTAGAGAAAAGAAAAATATTAAGAAAATCACAAGGAAGAGAAAATACATTTACAGTACTAAAAGTATTTATTGAAAAAAAAAATCGTAGGTGGACCCTCACAGATCAAATCTGTATTGTACAGGGTCCCCTGTATACCTGAAGCTGGATGGCTGCTTACCGTGCCTGTTTACAGAGATATGTGTCTTTGGTTAAGCTTTCCCCGGAGAGCACAAAGTCAACTACAGGATAATTCTGCACAAGAAAGAATGTTTCTTGAATTTGAATTCAACTTTTGAATGCAGATGGAGGCCTCAGTGTTAAAGCAACCCTGCTGGTGTAGCACAGACACCCGCGGGCTTTTTGATGAGCCCATAACATCCCTTCAGGAACGTGTTTTTAACTGTTCTGAGATCACGCCCCCAGCCGTGGTGACTCTCAAACAGGCCTCAGCGATTCCACTTGCCCGATGCAAAGGCTGACGCGGGTTTCACAGAGACTGAACCCTCAGCCCCGGAGCAGCCGTGTCCTTTCAGAAGGAAGGTCACCCTGGCTGCAGGTCCTTGCTTTTCATTACTTCAAATATTTCTTGCCATGCCCTTCTCTACCCAGCAAAGCTCATTTAGCATTGAAGGCCAGATAAAGAGGTTCACAGACAAGGAAAAGCTCAAGGAGTTCATCACTCCGATGGGGAGTGGGGCCAGCCAACTGCTGCAGCCCCTCCCCCCCCACCCCCCACCCTGATGGGGGTGGGATCAGGCAAGCCAGCCAACCTCCTGTGTCCCCTCCCCCTGGCCAGCCCAGCCCTATCGGCCAGATCGAGCAGCTGGCAGGACCCCACCTGTGCACGAATTTGTGCACCAGGCCTCTAGTAGAATATAATATTGCAGACTTTTAAAATGAATGTCTTTATTTTGCATTACAATTGTACTTACAATAGAATGATTATCACTTTAAGTGACTTGTGTTTTACATTTATGGCACAGTTTATCTTCCCGAACTTTTCTGCTATTTCCAGTTTTCATTTTATTAGAGATGCCATCTCCTCATAACTGAATGAGGAACATGGCCATGCTGGGGGAAATTTCTGTGCCTGTCTCTTTTTGCTCTCTCTTCCTCTGAACAGAAATAATATCTTGGCAGCATATCTCTTTGTCTGTTAAAAAAAAAAAAAAAAGGCAGGAAAAGGAAACAGCAGTGGATGATCTGCTTTCTGAAACAGTTTAAGAAAGATCTGGAGGATGTTTGCTTTGCACTGAAGCAGCTTCAACTTCTGCTTTTCCAGTATTTGCAGGAACTTTCCTGACACTAAGGTCGGGAAGAAACAATGGCCAGAGACTGTCTCCTGCAAACATGAGATGAGTGCCAGCCATGCCTCAAAGCAGGCGCTGAGAGTGAGCTGTGCTGTTTTTCTTCCATAGTTGTTTCCATATGCAAAGTGGGCTCTCTGCCGCAGCTGCTATTCAATCAACCACATTTTCGGAACTGT